TGGGTGGCTATTGTAAATGGTATTGCTTTCCTAATGTCCTTTTCAACACTGTCATTTTTGGTATAGAGGAATCCAACTGATTTTTGTATGTTAATCTTAAACCCTGCCACTTTGCTGAATCTTCCAATGAGGTCTAGTAGCTTTTTTACTGAATCTTTGGGGTTTTCCACATATAGGATCATATCATCTGCAAATAGGGAGAGTTTAACTTCCTCTTTGCCAATTTGGATGCCTTAAATTTCCCTGTCTTGCCATATAGCTCTTTTTTTTTTTTTTAATTTGCACTGTGCTTTTATTATTACTGTGTTAGAGAAACAGAAGCAAACTTTTCATTTTCAATGATGACTGAATAGTCATCTATGAGTTCTTGAAGTTGAATAATAGGAAATTGTACTTGTTTTTCAAACCATTTGGCAATTGTAAGAAGCTGTTGATCACAAAATGCACGTCCAATAAACTGAAGCCCTACTGGCAATCCTTGGTTTGAGAGGGCCACAGGAATGCTTATTGCTGGCAATCCTGCCATATTTACTGCTTGTGTAAAGATATCATCTTGGGCACCTCGAGTTCTGTTGTCTTCTTTGATGAACTCCGAATATGGTATTGCCTCCCTCAAAGTTGTGGGTGTTAGCAAGACATCAACTCCAGAGTTAAAAACATCCATAAAATCATTAGCAATGAGCCGTCTCACTTTCTGTGCTTTGATGAAATAATTCTCATAATTTTCTTTTAATAAGAAGAAGTTCCCTGAGAGAATTCTTCCTCTCACTACATCATTGAACCCTTCTCGTCTGGTTGCAGCATACATAGCTTCCAAAGATACATCATTGTTACATCTGTGACCATATTCTAGTCCATCAAATCGTGCCATATTTGATGCTACTTCCGATGTGCACAACACATGGTAGCAGACTATTGAATAACTTGTGTGAGGCAGGGAGATTTCGATGACTTTAGCCCCCTGGGATTCAAAGATGTCAGCAGCTTGGCTCCAAAGAGATTGTACTTCACTTGATAATTCTGGTACAAGATATTCCTTTGGAATTCCTACACATAATTTGCTCACATCTGTCAAACTTGGAAGCACAAATGGCTTAACAGGGTCTTGTACTGTGGTAGAATCTTTGGGATCCTGTCCAGCTAGTACACCCAAGATAATTGCTGCATCATCCACACATCTGGTTAAGATTCCTGGCACATCCATTGAGTTCACCAGGGGTATGAGGCCGTGACGGGATACTAATCCATAGCTTGGTTTTAAACCGACAAGCCCACAGAGGGCAGCTGGATTCCTGGTTGATCCTCCTGTATCGGATCCTAAAGCCGCAAAACATGTGAACACTGATACAGCAGCTGCACTGCCGCCCGAGCTTCCTCCGGTGATTAGCCAATCGGAATCTTCATTCGCACGTAGGGGCTTCTGCTTCCTCTTTTCTCTATATTGCTTTGAATAACTCCAAGGGTTTTTAACCAGCCCAAATACACCATCTGTACTTCCAGATCCCATAGCAAACTCATCTAAATTTGTTTTTCCCATAAGTAGAGCTCCCTGATCCAACAACTTCTGAACTACTGTAGCATTATAAGGTGGTACATAACCTTTCAGCATGTTTGATGCACATGTTGTCTCAATGCCAGATGTGCTAAAGTTGTCTTTTACTGCAAAAGGAATTCCATCTAAATCCCCAAGTGACTGACCTTTTGAGTATCTCTTCTCTGATTCTTCAGCTTGCTTTAGGGCCACCTCCTCTGTGACAGTAATATAAGCATTTAGAAACTTGGTCTTCTTGATCAGAGAGAGGCATTTTTGACAGAGCTCTGTTGGAGTTATTTGGCCTTGCTTGAGTCCTGCAGAAACTTCTCGGAGGGTCCGGCCCAGCATGGTTTACGAGCTCAGCCTGCCTCCACAGGAGGCAGGTAACAAGGAGGAAGAAAAGAGGTCAACAGACCCTGCTGTTATTACATGGGCGCAGCCATGTTTGATCGTCACTCCCATATAGCTCTTTGCACAAACTTTTTGAAACTCAAGTCTGTCATAGATTATTTCATAGGCAGAACCATGGCTGATTTGCTACAAAGTCCTCTGTCACTCATCTATAAAACAAAATCATTTCATGTGCATGCTCATTGTCATCAGCCATGGACATGGGTGGGCGTTTTAATATAATGTTGGATGGATAATTTGTAACTCATCTTCGTATAAAACTTTGAAAGAAGGACTGCCAACAAAGAATCATATACACAACAGAGCTGTCCCTCAAATATGATGGTGAAATTGAAATGAACAGAATTTTTAATGACCAGACTAATTTTGCAAAAATTACTAAAGGGTGTTCTTTGAAATGAGAACCAACAACAGACAACAACTTGAGATTACCCTACATGAAAACACCACCCAAAACTCAATCCAGATATGAAAGTATTTAAAATAAAACAAACCTACAAGACTGAAAATAGGGAACCAGACGTATCAATGTACAATGAAGTCACTTACAAAGCAAAAAGAGAAAATAGTGTAGATACAGAACTTTCAAATGGCAAAGAAGTTAAGTAGATTTCAAGACAATACAGACTGTCTTAAGCAGGAAAATTTTAATAATACACCTACACATCAAAATAAAAGACAAAGATCAGAAAAAGTTAGTAAACATTAACACAACAGAAATGAAAATGACAAGAAAACCCACTAAAAAATGAACTTCGTGTAGAAAATTGAGTGAAACAGAAAATCTAGCAGCACCACACACACACACACAGAAAAATGACAACAATCAATTCATACTTTTGATAATTACACTGACTGTAAGTGGGTTAGATGTACCAGTCAAGAGACATAAAGAGTAGAATGGATAAGAAAACTGGATCCTTCAGTATACTGTCTACAGGAGAAGAGAGAGGCATATCAAAAAGACAAAGACAGCCTAAATGCTCATCAAAAGAAGAATGGTTAAACAAATTTTGGTACTTACACACAATGTTGATGTTGTTAGATGCCATCGAGTTTGTGCAGAGTCTTAGTCGATTACAAAAGGACAAACATTGTATACCACCACCACCACCAAGATGTAATGAGAGAAATTGTCGTTATGTGCCTTTGAGATGGTTCATATTCAGCGTTTCCAAAGAGGGGCTGGTGTGCTTTGAACCGCTGACCTTGTGGTCCACTACTTATTCTACAGTGCCACACCAGGATTCCCCTGTAGTTAAATGCCGGCGAGTTGGTTCTGACTCTTGGTTTGGTGGTGGTTTTGTGCCGGTTCTGACTCAGCGACCCTGAGTAGGGTTTTCGAGGCTGTAAATCTTTACGGGAGCATTAAGCCTCATCTTTCCGCTGGTAGTTTCAAACTCCTGACTTTGAGATTAGCAGCTCTGTTTGTAACCACTATGCTACCAGAACTAGCGACCCTATATAGGGTTTACAAGGAGCGATTGGTGAGTTTGAACTGCAGACCTAGTGGTTTGCAGTCCCGTGCAGATCCTACAGCGCCACATCAAGAGTCTCCGTTGTTGTTACAGTGGGCGTTTTTAAAATTCAGTAGCTACCTTTTATAGCTTAAGCCCTGTTACAATGACGTAGTCCCTGCCTGTTGTGTAGGTCTTTGTTTAAGTATGCCATTACTAAACTGTTTTACTTACAAGGTCAACCTTTCCACTCCTCCGAACCAGCTCAAGTTTGCCATCTGTCCTTCATTTCATTTGCACAAACTGTCAAGTATGCTGAGCGAATCGAACTTAGTAATTGAGAGTGGTAAAATGCGAACACGTGGCATGAAACACAACAGGTGACCTCTACAAAAGGTCGTGTGTATTAACGTGTGCAGCACCACCCGTACTCACTACGCCCTGGTCACTTTATAGCGTAAGGAAAAGTTTTAGACACACAACTATCGAATTTGATTATAACTTCTCTTTTCATATACTAACACACCTCGTTGTGTGCATGTGAGTTGGTTCCGACAAATAGCTATGAGTCTGTTACGAGAGGGACTGGTGGGCTTGAACCGCCGACCTGTGGTTAGCAGTCCAGTGCTTATTGTACAGCGCCATTACCAGGACACCAGTAACAAACCCAGTACACACCAAAAGTCCACGTTAAAAGCCTTTAATAAGGGTTCCTTATGAAGAAGGTTCGGCAGAGAACGCGCCCCCTCCCTGTCCTGGCAGCAGCGAGAGCCTATTAGTCTTCCTTCCTGGAGCCGGGACGCCAAGGCCGCTCCTGGTCTCCCTGGCCGAGGAGCCAACTCCGAGGATTGTGGGATTCTACGAACACGTTTCAAGGCGGAGTACAGTCCACCTTCGCGGCCCGGAGTCGCATCTGCTGGTCGTAGCCCGGGGAGGCGGGCGCAGGGAGGACACGTCACAACTAGGGGACCGCAGTCCCGGAGGCGAAAGTTTGCCAAGGGAAGGGCGGGGGCGGGCTGGGGGTCGCGGACAGGACCAGAGGCAGTGAGTCTTTGTCCGGCTCGCCGCCGGGTCCCCGTCCGCTGCTTCTGGCTCCGTCCGGGTCCGCCCCGCTCCGACTCTGCCACATCCTCCGGTGACGTCAGCTAGCGCCGCCATATTGGAAAGGCGCCGCCGCCTCCTCCGCTTGGAGCTCGGGCTTCCTTGGACGCTGCGGCCACTGGGAGGGACGAGCTCCACGTCCACCTCGCCGACTGCCGGCCCGCCCGCTCCCACCCGGCTCGTCTCCCCATGACTGCTCCCGGCCCCGCTGCTGACGGACGTCGCCCCAGCACCCAGGTTTAACACGGAAGCCGCGGTCCGGGGCCACGGGAGGAAGCAGAGGGAGACCCGGTAGGTCCCGTGTCCCTCTCGCCCCGGGGCCTCGGCCGGAGCCATGACCTCGCTGACCCAGCGCAGCTCGGGCCTGGTGCAGCGGCGCACCGAGGCCTCCCGCAACGCCGCCGACAAGGAACGGGCGGCGGGCGGCGGCGGTAGCAACGGCGAGGACGACGCGCAAAGCCGCCGCGACGAGCAGGACGACGACGACAAGGGCGACTCCAAGGAAACGCGGCTGACCCTGATGGAGGAGGTGCTCCTGCTGGGCCTCAAGGACCGAGAGGTGCGGGCGCGGCAGGGAGGGCGGGGGCGGACCGCGGGGCCCTGGTCGGGTGGGCGCCCGCTGCGGTCCCACTCGTCTGGCCGCCTCGCTTCGGAGAGTTCGACTGGCCCCAGCAGTGTTGGAGTTAGCGTCCCCCCGCCGGCCCTGTGTACTCCTCCGGCTCCCTGGCCAGATTGCTTGGATTTTTCCCTTCCTACTCTCGACACCCTGGCAGCTGGCGTTTCTTCCTTGATTTTTAGTTTTCCCTTCCGGGTGTAGACCCCCAGGTGCAACTTGAGCTGGAAGACTGCCTGTTAGAATGAAAACACCTGGACCTACCAGTGCCCCCAACTCACAGGTTTTGCAGGTTAGAGGAGCTGGGCGGGGGTCCACGGATCTGCTTCCTGGGGAATCTGCTCTACGCCCTCCATGCAGGATTATAGTTGCAATGAAGAAAAATGGTGAAATGGTGGTGGAGAAGAAAAGTTGTTTTTCTGAGTTAAGTTAAAAGTCAAAATCCTCATGGAGCCTCCTGGAAAATGCGTTGGGCGGAAGATTATTTTTAGCGGCGCTTTTAAAGTGTCTGTCCTCAAAAGTCTCACCATTTTCAGAAAGGGCTTTTTGTTTTGTTTTTTGGAATGCTTGAAATGCTAGGTTTATAAATTGATGAAAGGCCTCACAGCCTTAGGTAGACTAAAGTTGTGGTCTGTATTTCACTGTGTTATATATTTAAGAAGACTTTTGCATGTAGGTTCAGAAAAATGAAAAGGGAACACCTCCTAGATTGTGCAGTGATTAGGTCGCTCTATTTGCTATATCACATATCCATACCCATCCATGTATAAAAATGATTATCTTTAGATACAGACACACTGGTAGGCAGTATGGTGAAGTGACCCAAGAAGCTTGGTTATTTCAGTGTGGAGACTGTAGACAGCAAGTCTTGAGAGTCAAACTCAAAAGTATTTCAAGTTTTGTTTTTTTAAGACAGTTTTGAAGTTCACCAAAGTGGGCAAAATATCAGTCTTGTAGGACAACTTGGTTATCAGTAATCTTCCTAATTCATTATGGGTGAGTTTTAATTCTGTGGACTGTGTGTGGACTCCTGAGGGGTAGGGGTGGGGTGAAGTTTACCTTGTGAGTTTTTATGATATTTTGGTTTTAATAACCCATCACTTTGAAAAAGTTATTTTAAGTGCCTCTGACTGTGAAAAGGGCCAAACTCACATACTTTGAGTTGATTCTGACTCACATTGACCCTGTAGGACAGAATGGAGCCCTGGTGTGGTGCTGTGGGTTAATGTGCTAGACGGCAAAGTCGTTTCAACCTCAGGGGTGTAGTTCAAGCTCTCCAGCCTCTGCTCGGAAACTCTGGGGTCACCATGGGTTGGAACTGACTCGAAGGCACTTACAACAACATGACAGACTAGAACCCTTAGAATTTCCAAGGCTGTAAATCTATACCCACAGAGCTTCTGGTCGGTTTGAACCTCTGACTTTTTGTTATTATGGGTGTGGCAGAGTTTTTAGTGTCTGCTCCAACAGAGATCCTGATGAAAGGGCCCCAAGCCCACTGCTGACGAAGTTGAGTCCTACTCAGAGTGACCCAAAGGGCAGAGTAGAATTTAGAATTTTCAAGCCAGCTTCATCTCCTCCACCTTGTGGTTAGTAGGCCAATGCTTAACAGATCAGGCCACCAGGGCTTCTTGATTAGAGGGTCCAGTACCTGCTTAATTACTGAGTTTTGGCAGTAGGTGGTGGTGGTGGTTATGTGACGTGGAGTCAGTTCCAACTCATAGCAACCCTGCATAGGATTTCCGAGACTGTGAATGTTTATGGGACAGAAAGCCTCATCTTTCTTCCGCGGAACAGCTGATACGCTCCAACTTCCTACCTTCAGGGTAGCAGCCTGACTCATAACCACTAGAGCTCCATTTGGTAATACGAGGTAGGCTATCTGTACAATATTCTTTTTCCTGTTTTGGGTGAAAAAGCAAATTAGATCTACAGTGTCCTAATAATGTGATTTTAGAAAGCATTCAGTTTGCTTTTGAGGGTCACAATTTAGAATCTTGCTAGTACACATTTTTTCTTTTAAGTATTTATCTTTTTTTCCCTTTGAACAAAACCAACACAGATTACTATTGACATTTTAGGAATACAGAAAAGCAAAATGAAGAAGTCACCTTTATTCCTGAGTGAACATTTAATTGGCTTACTGTTTTTGAGACTTCTGTGTGTTAAAGTCCTGTGTATATGTAGAATTAAAACCGAAACAAATCCAAAAACTAGCATCTGGTATTCTGAGTAACACTATGTGAGAAATTATGGTGAGAAACTACCTTTTTGTTTTTTTAAAGTGTGTTAACTCTGAATGTTTATGTTAAAGCATATTAACATGCTGGTTTTCTGTGGTTCCTGAGAAGATGATCTGAAGAATTTATTATGTTAAAGTTTAATGGTGCCTACGAAGTTGAGACAATGTAAAGTTCTTTGGTACAGGTAATGAAAACCATCTGTTGTGTTTACTTTCTGTCAGGAGTCACTGTACTTTGCAAGTCATGGCCAGGGTCCAGACTCTGGATAATCCTGAGCAGTCCTTTCAACAAGTACATAAGGAACTTTTTGTTCTTTTGCAGACAAGTCTGGAGAGTTGATAGGGAAGAGGGAGGTTGTGATTTTGCATTTCTTTAGATTTTGGTTCTAGGCGGCATTAGCCTATATATTTTTTCCTGTCACCACATCTTTGTATACTAATATCTTGCCCTCTCAACTCATCTTCATGTGTTTTTCTCCTTGGGAAGCTCCGTCCCCCATGCCTTAAACTAGTATCACTTTTTCTGGGGGGTTACTGTGAGTCGGAACCAACTCAGTGGTACTTAACAACAACAAGCTGTAGGATTGAACTCCTGGTGTGGTGCTGTTGGATAAGCACTGGACTTTGAACCACAAGGTCAGCAGTTCAAACCCACCAGTTATTCCTTGGAAACCATATATAGGGTTGCTGTGAGTTGGAACTGACTCCACGGCACTTAAGAACAACAAGGTGTAGAATGGGATCCTAGTGTGGTGCTATAGGATAAGCACTGGAATGCTAACTGCAAGGTTGGTGGTTCAAACCCACCAGCTGTTCCTTGGAAAGTCTATATAGGGTTGTATGAGTCAGAACCAACTTAACAGTACCTAACAGCAACAGCAAAGCTGTAGGATAAGCACTAGATTGCTAACTGCAAGGTCAGTGGTTCAAACCCACTAGCCACTCCTCAGAACTTCATAACAGGGTTGCTATGAATCAGAACTGACTCAGTGGCACTTAACTATAGCAGGCATTTATTGGGAGTCCTAGTGTGGCACTGTAGAATAAACCTTAGACTACTAACTGTAAGTAAGGTAAGTGGTTTAAACCCACCAACTGTTCCTTGGAAACCCTAATACAGGGTTGTTATGAGTTGGAACAGACTCAGTGTTAGAGATTAATTTTTGAAATTGGTTAGAAACAATTTCCAAACATTAGCTGTAATATATGTTGTGGTGTTGTGTGGTGCCGTCGAGTCGGTTCCGACCCATAGCGACCCTGTATAGGATTTCTAAGGAGCAGCTGGTGAGCTTGAACCGCCAACCTTGCAATTCAAACGGCTTTGTTATAGCCTTAATAAATTCACTCTTCATCTTGATTTGGCATCCATCATTGTAATATCTGGATACCCAAGATATTTATAAGCTAAACTTTAAAGTTAGCCAGATTATTAGTATTGGACTTAGTTTATACATATATGAGCTTATGTGAATGTGAAATTAACACAATCAAAAAATGATAAAAATTGCTAATTGGTGGAATTAATTTTGATCGTCGTTGCTATGTGCCGTGGAGTCGGTTCCAACTCATAGCGACCCTGTACAGGGTTTCTGAGACTGTAAATCTTCATGGGAGCAGAAAGCCTCATCTTTCTCCTGCGGAACAGCTATCAGTTTACATTTTATGGCTTATTAAAAATGTTTTTTATTGAATAATAAACTACAGAAAAGTGCATATATGGTTAAGTGTGATGCATTTTCACAAACTGAATGTGCTCAATTAGTCAGCATCTAGAGCACAAAGCACCCTGGCCAGCTCTCCCAAAATCCCCCTACGTCCTATCCTGTCACTGCTCACTCCGCAGGGGTGATTGACTGCTAAGTCTCACTTGAGAAGTCCATGCAGCTTCATTTTACCCAGTGTGTTACTAATGTGGGATCTGGTAAATGCTCAGTGTGTTACTAATGTGGGATCTGGTTTTTGTTCAACATTGTGAGAGCTACCTTACACAGAAATATGGGTGATTCATTTTCAATGTTTTAGCAACTTTTAACATATTTGAACTCTATAAAACTTTGATGACGTTTAGCATGTACGGTGGCAGATTATTTTGATTTGTATCCTAAATCAAATGGAGCCTTGATGGTGCTGTAGGAGAAGTGCTAGACTGCTAACCACAAGTTCAGCAATTCAAATTCCCATGCCGCTGCTCTGCAGGAGAAAGATGAGACTGCCTGCCTGCTCCTGTAAAGATTTGTAACCTTGGAGATCCTATACAGGGTCATTATGAGTCAGAATCAAGGCAGTGACAGTGAGTGAGTTCTGTTGTTTTGTTATCCCTTCATCTTCTTTACTGAACAGGAGGCTCAACTTCAGAATCTATTTCCAGGTTTCAACTTGAATTCAAATTCCAAATTATTTGTAAGATTTCTATAATCCTCCCTGTGCTTGAAGGGCAGGAGTGTTGGGCTCTTTCCTTTCCCCAACTATTTCTTTTGTTATAGCTGCATCCTATAGTCAGAACAGTTCTAGAATTCTTCAGTGATAATTACTTGAAATAACTTGGTATTAGTATCTTAATTGGGGCAATCTTAGTCCTTTAAGTTTGGACTTAGTTATTTTAAATAAGCAGGTATGCTTCAGAGTGTCAAAGAAGAAAATCTACATTCTGTTAGAGGTGGAAGAAAAAGAGTTTTATTGTGCTTTATCCAGTTGTGAGGTTAGT